AAATCACATAAAGTATCAGAAACATGCCTGACACATAAAAAGAGCCTGATAAGTGTTGGTATCCCTCCCCTATTCCCAATCCATATTCATTATATCAAGGTTTTTCAACCTTGGCACTATTTACATTTTGGACTAGATAATTCTTTATTGTGAAGCTGTCCTGTGTATCATAAGATAAAAGCATCCCTGGCCCTCTACCCATTAGATTCCAGTAGTATCCCCCACCACCAGGTATGACAATCAAAATGTTCTCCAGACACTGGCATGTGTCCCTTGGGTGGCAAAATCACTCATTTTGAGAAATGCAGATCTATATGTAGATCTATATCTACATTTATATGGACTTCCATAAATGCCTCTCAGAAAGTTCTATCTTATGTGCCTCAAGCTCAAAGTGCCCAAAACTGAAATCAGCACTTTCTGATGATTCCCACTGCCCCTCCTCCAGGTCATCATTTTCCACATTATTTTTGCCATCATCCAGGCAACTAATCTACAAACTAAATTTAAGCAACTTCCTCTCATTGGCCATCTTCATCCAGTCTTCAATTCCCAGAGAATTCAACTCCTTGAAAGATTTGGCCTTCCCTCTTACACAGCTTCTATATTATCTCTTCATCTCCAATTCAGATTACTCTAATAGTTTTCTACCCAGGACTCCTACTAAGATGAGAATTTGTAACTTTTCCACCCCATACCATTATTGTGCAGATGTGCACACTCTATTCTTGCTCTCTATTCCTAATCCCTACCGTTATATGGTTATAATAATAAATTAGGTGAGTTAACGTCATTTTTAATCCCTTTTTGTCATGTTAGTGAGTTTCAAGAAGAAATAGAGACATGTTGCCTACATTAGTCTTCCATCTTTAACCAGAGTCCTCCACTGTACTTCTAGGATGAAACCTAGGAGCACACCAAGTCCACAGGAACCTAGAGCCTGGAATTTTATGTTCCAGGTCTTGAGAGATCTATTCTACCCAAAGTAGGTGGTGCATGAGGACTAAAACTCCATAAACAGACTCTATTTTAGAGATTTTCCTGACTCATTACATTTAATGAACAATTTTTTGAGCATTTAGACTGCAAAACAGAGTGAACACACACAAAATGAGGTACAGGGCTTGACCCTATGATTTCTCAGTATAACTAGAGTGATAACCAAAGAAACTGAAATTTGTACCACTATTAGTAATTGTTAACCAGTCACAGTGCTAGATTCTCTATTCACCTTCCCTCCTGTCCCCCCACCCTCAATCAGGCAGGAGGGATTAATTCATTGTTCCACAGTCAAAATAGCAACAGCCAGACCAAGATTCATATTTAAGCATCTATGAATCCAGAATTGATTTCTTTTACCACTACACTATGCAGAATTGTGTGGTATATGTGGGATATTTTATAGAGGGTACATTAAGAATCCTTCAAATTAAGTGACAGAAATTCAAGCTGATTCTGTCTAGATAAGCCAGCCCATACCACAAATGTGTGTGAAACTGCTAAGCTGAGGATGTACATGACTTCTTGCATGGCTGTACCCCGGACCAAGTCATTCATGTGTGTGTCACTCTTCCCACTTTTTGTTCTGCTTAGTTCTACTCAGTTTTAATCTCAGATGGGTTCTCCCCATGTAGCAAAAGGAGAACCACCAAAATCCCTACATTTAATCTTACCAACTCAGTAACTCTAAGGAGAAAAGAAAAGTTAAAGAACTGTTATGGTAGAAAAGACAAGTCAAATGTCTACTTCTGACTAATCACTGCCATTGAGGTTTGGAATGTGCTGATAGATAAGATGCCTCTTATAGTGAGCAAATCAATCCATCAAAATCACATAAAATGTGCTACCTGTATCAGACAAGGTGCAGTCAGAAAAGCAAATGGTAAAATATGTGCTTCTTATAGAGTGTATTTAAAACAAAGAATTGGTTTATTCAGATATTGCAAGGGGGAAAGAGAAAAAAGTTGAAAAATATAAAGACTATTAAACTACAGAAAATAGCTACCACTCACAACTGGTAGAGAACATGGAAAGAGGAAGCATAACCAGATACTAGAATCTCAGAGGAGAAGCTCTATAGGATTGGTGCTTGGAGGACTGGAGGGTTTGAAAGTGCTTGGACGCCTGAAAGAGAGGCTCCACCCAGTTCTGGGTCCAACATGGAGGGAGACCAATGAGGAGGCCCAACAAGTGCTTAAGCCTCTCAAGGGGCAGAGCCCCTGCAATGAAGCGAGGGAGGACAGTACAGCTGCCAAGGGAGTGTTGTCCAGCTAATGACTACACATCTAAGGAGGTGCAGAAAGTTAAACACATTTCCATGTGCTTGTTGGCCGTTTGCATGCCCTTCTTTGGGACATGTCTTTCAAATCATCTGCCCATTTATGAAATGGTCTTTTATTATTTAGGTATCTTTTAATTTTTAACTTGTTATATATTATGGTTACAATATCTTTATCAGATACAGGTATTGCAAATATTCTTCAAGTCTGTGACTTGCCTATGAATTTTTTTTGGTAAACAGGTACTCTAATGTTAATGAAGTTTATTTTTGTCTTTGGTTTTTTTTCCTTTTGAGTTTAGTGCTTTCTAGAATATGTGTAAGAAATCTATGTCTACACCAACATACTTTTTAATGTTTTCTTCTAGATTTATGTTTGAATTTTATGTGTGCAGTCTGATCCATTTAAAATTAATTGTTGTATATGGTGTGAGGGAGAGATCACTTAATTGTTTTCTCAAGAACAGTATTTCCAGCATCAATTGCTTAAAATATTTTCCTATTCCTATGGATTTACTTTCTTGCCTGGTCAAAAATCAAATGACTGTATAAGTAAGGATCTCTTTCTGGACCTTCGATGTTGTACCATGACTTATTTATCTATCTTTATAACAAAACCAATCTGTCTTCATTATCAGAGCCTAATACTAAGTGTTAAAATCAGTTAGCGTAAATCTTCTGTGTCATCTAGAGATCCCCAAGGAGCAGATGCCAAGAAATAATTAGACCTGCGAGACATTTATTATGGTAAATAGTTGTGAAGGGTAAAATGGGAAGAAGGAGTCATTGATAAAGGCCTTCAAATGGGTTGAAACTCTGACACCTAAGAAAGAAGAGAGAGAAGGAAGGACACAATAGGAAAATCTCAGACTATAGGGCAGTTCTAAAAAGTCTCTGTTAGGATGACAAGAAGTACCTAAGCAAAAAATGCCTATCAGAAGACACCTTTGTTACGATGATATTGGCCAGCTCCTGCATGACCCATCATGGTAAACCATTGGCTGGAGACATCTCAGAGTGAGCATGGACTCTGCCTGAACACAATGGTGAATCCAAAGGAGTATCACCTATAGACTATCATTCAACAATGCTCCCCCCAGCTGGTTCTCTTGAAGAGATGAGCAGCACCTCCCTATGACTGCCACAGTCCACTCCCAAGAACAAATTACACCCCAAAGTTCTTTCTGTTTTATTTATTATTATTTTATTTTATTAACTATTGTTTTAGCAATAAACATTACTGTTGTTGTTCAAGCAAGATAATCCAATTCAACAAGTACTTCTTGTCCTCCCAATATATCTGACATTCTAAATATACAAATGAGAAAAACATTGAGAAATAGGAAAATTATAGGAAACAGTATTTACTTCAAATGCTTATTATCTTCTTGGTGAGACAAAGTGCTATGGTCAAATGTTGAAATCCTAACCCCCAAACATATTAGGATGAGGGGTCTTTGGAAGGTGCTTAGGTCATGACAATGGAATTCTCATGAGTGTGATTTGTGCCTTATAAAAGAAGCTCCATATAGATCACTAGTGCTTTCCACCATGTGAGGATATAATGAGAGGTGTGTGACCTAAAAGAGTGCCCTCAGCCATTCGTACTGGCATCCTGATCTTGGACTTAGAGCCTCCAGAACTGTGAGAAATAAATTTCTGTTGTTTATAAGCCACCAATTCTGTGGTATTTTGTTATAACAGCCCAAATGGACTAAGACACAGATTTAAGTAAGCTCACAAAATGTTGCTAGAAATAAAGTTTATTATCATTAATATATACCTTTTTTCATTATAAACTTCATTAAATAAATAAATGTCTAACATGTTTCTCCCAATATGCATTATTTTCTTTTATGTCTAACATGTTTCTCCCAATATGCATTATTTTCTTTTAAGTGATAAGTAACAGACTACAGTGAGAACTTCATGCTCTTTTTCAAAATATCTGATGCCATATTAGATAGTAATGAAGACAAATCTTTTAATACATCAGTCATCCCCCATATTTGGATCCTGAGATACATATGTATTATTTCTTTAGTCATACTATGTTAATATCTTTGGCAATAAAAGGTGGAGTCATATGTATTCACTTCAATATTAAATGAACTGGACTGATTGAGGTTCTCAAAATCCCCAGGTGGTGTGTAATACAGATTTGGCCATTTTCAAAGGGAACAAGAAAGAACAGAATAGTAAAAAGAAAAGTTGGTAAGAAAATAGAACAAAATGAAAAGATCAGAGGGATTTGATTATACTTTAAGCTATATACACAGTTTGTAATGAACACATCTCATTGAAGCCTGTTGCCTATACCAGCAACAATATGGAGAAGAATAAGAATGTTTCTATAGTATTTGCCACCTCTGTGTTTAGGTAAGCAAGCTGTAATTTCAACTTTCTGGCACTTAAGAAGCTTACCATATTTGTCCAGATTAGGAATATCCCAGAGACAGAAACAGTATGAAAAAAAGAGTCTATATATTTGTTCTTTTTGCAAACATGTTATTAGTTATTTAGTAAATTGGTATCAGGTACAGAAATATGGAAGCAAAAAATGAGACAAGGTAGGGAAATGATATAAGGGATAAATGATAAGTCTATTAAAACACAGATAACACAATCTGCAGAAACAACACTGGTAATCATCACAACCTCTTCTTGAAAAACACTAATAAAAATTTTTAAAAATTGAGTTTCCTTACATTATAACTTGTAATTACAGCATGTTTCTCCTCCAGATTTTGAACATGGTTTCCTGCAGTGTAACTTTGATATCCTTGTTCCTCAAACTGTAGATCAGGGGATTGAGCATGGGTACCACATTGGTATAGAAAACTGAAGAAACTTTTCCCTGCTCCATAGATCCAGGAGAATATTTAAGATACATGAATGCTGCTGACCCAAAAAAAAGAGAAAGAGCAATGATGTGAGAGCTACAGGTACTGAAGGCTTTTGATCTTCCTTGAGCAGATTTGATATGAAGAATGCTAGTTAGAATGAAGACATAAGAAATCAGGATGGTAAAACTGGGCACGGTGATATTAATTCCCACAACTATCAGAACTACTACCTCATTGACATGGGTGCTGGTGCAAGAGAGTTGGAGAAGAGGAAGAATGTCACACAAGTAATGGTTGATGATATTGACATTGCAGAAGGTTAGTATAAGCATGCACCCTGTGTGGGCAGAGGCTCCAGCAAATCCCATCATATATGCAGCAACACTTAGCAAGGAACAGACCTGATGGGACATGGTGACCCTATACAGCAATGGATTACAGATGGCCACATAGCGGTCATAGGCCATTGAGGTCAACATGTAGCATTCCGAGATGACAAAAAAGAGAAAGAAAAACAGCTGAGTCATGCACCCGACATAGGAGATGATATTCTCCCTTGATACAAAGTTCATCAGCATCTTGGGGGTGAAAACAGAAGAGTAACAGAGATCAATGAAGGATAGGTTGAAGAGGAAGTAGTACATGGGGGTGTGGATGTGCGAGTTGAGACCAATGAGAATGATCAAACCAAGGTTGCCCACCATGGTGACAATGTAGATCATCAGAAACAGGAAAAAGAGGGGTTGCTGGAGCTCTGGGCGGTCTGTTAATCCAGCAAGAAGAAATTCAGTCACTAAGGAGTCATTTCTAACCAATATTCTCCTCTTTGGAAATCTGTGAGAACAGAAGAAAACGCCATTAATAGAAACCCCAGCTGTCTCCTTACACACTCTTATTTATGAGAAGAAGACTCAGACCAGCAAATAAGTCCTCCTTTGCTTCACAGGGTCAGAATGCACTGGCACACATGCCCCTCAACATTAAAATCACTGTTTCTTTTGTTGCATGAGCTGCATGTGACAAACAACTGCTCCTATCATTACTAGAAGATACAGGGATGGAGTAGCTGAGGATTAAGGCTACCTGTTGGTGAGCTTCAGTAGTGACAGGGTGTCCCCTTCTCTCCCTCCCACTCATCTGATCCTTCACTTCCTAGTTCCTACTCATGTTTCCATTACCCTACCAGATACCTCAGTTCCCCTGTGATGGCCATCATGAAAGAGAGGATTCTTCTTGGCAGAGACCATATCACAACTGTGCTTCCTAGAAGAGAGTCTCTATGAGTCTATAATGTTTTCAGGTAACTTACTGCAAGAATCCATGAAGTCAATAATTTATAACAAGTATTGAGGAGACCTTTGGTAGCCTAAGATTTATAATTCATCATATACTCAGTTGTTTCTACACATTCTCCTTCTCTGTTCCATCCTAGCCAGACAGAGGATGAATAAAGGAAGGTGGATTTCTTTTCCTTGGTTTTGTAGGAGGGCATGAAAGAGAAAGATAATTAATGTGGACATTGATTAAATTAGTTGTTAAGTTTGTGAAAATGTATCAAGCTGCATGCTTGTAACACAATTTTTTTTATATTCATATTTCAATTAAAAATTTTATCTTAGGAAAGAGATAAATGTCTTCCTTTGATGTTATTATATTCTAGATGTGTCACTTGGTACTGCTATAGCTATCTTGCTGCCAGACCAAAGATGAAGTCAACACAGAGAAGGTATGCTCAAAATAATGTAGGTGGTATAGTCAGAGCTCCATACTTTTGAATTTATTGTTATTCAATATAAATGTTTTTCCTCATTTTTCAAGAACAGAGTGAATAAGAGATAAATAGAAATTTGATTAACTCACTCTCCTTCCATTGAAAGAACTGTGCTGACCCTTTATGTGTGTTTCACCTCCACTGGAAGAAGAACTGGCTTTTGGGATATTAAAGCTGAGCAAATGTAGTCACAGAATCTTCTTCCTTTATTGGCCAAAGAGTCACATCACAGATCTCACAGTCTGAGCATTCCAGGAGTCATTCTTGGTTGTAGATCAAACTTGTTGTTATAAATTTACTAAGAAAGTATGACGGGCAACTACACACTTGACACCTGAGCCACTGTGTCATAGAGTTCAAGGCATTTGCTTAAGGCTTATATTTTTTTGAATCTGATTAGAAATCCAGGTACACGTAGATCTCCCTTAGGACCTTCCCATTATGATAAGCTCTGTAGGGAAGAAACTAGTGTCTCTGTTTATACCCTAATTGTGACAGTAAATGTTAATTTCCATCAGGGATTATACATTCCCTAGGGCATATGAGAAAGGATCCTATGCTGTCTCCTGTAAAGGTTCAAATAATTAATGTCATTGAAAATTAAGGAGGGCATGTGATGTGATGAGCACAGGGTGTTACACGCAACTGATGGACTGTTGAACACTACATCTGAAACTAATGATGTACTATATGTTGGCTAATTGAATTTAAATTAAGAAAAAAAAATTTTCTAATTATAATTCTAGGTAACATATTAGTTTTAAGGATTTTTCATAAAGATTTATGAACATTTCAGTGAAGTTTATTTATTTTGCCTTTTTAAAATATTTGAGTCCTTTTAAATATTCAGTGTGTGAGCAAATTATATAGACATAAACAAAAGGAACTTTTTAACTGATTTCAGATCTTATTATTTAATAAAATCATTTAATATAAAAATGAGCCATTATTTCATGGAAATTTAATTACCTTGGGTTGTTCTGACTCAGTATGTCTTTGCTTTCAACATATTATATCAAATCTATAAGAAAAATCACTGTTAAGGAGCTTCCATTTCAAGAAAATATGACTTTAGAATTCCCAGTTATGTATTAATTTAGGATCATGCTTGTGAGAAGGCATCTAATTTTTCTTTATTTTTAAATTATTATAGATTCACAGAAAACAGCAAAAATAATGTACACAGTTCCTTGAAATCAACCCAGCTTCCTACCGTAGTAACATCTTTAACAACTGTAGCATAATAGCAAAACCCGGAAATTGACATTGGTATAATAATGTTAACAGGATACAGAACTACAAACATTTTCAGATTTCAGCAGTTTTACATATACTGTGTGTTTGTGTTATGTGTGTAGATCTATGTGATCTGACCACGAAGTGTGTGGTATATGATCAAGATCATGATCATATGATCATGACCACAATCATGAAAGAGAACTGTCCCACTACCATACAGGAACTCCCTTCTTCTACCCCTTTTTAGTCACACCCAATTCCTCCCACCTTCCTCTGTATCTTCTGGCAACCACTAAACTCTTCTCCATCTCTAAAGTGGAGTCATTTGAAAGACAACAAATGAGACTGCATCATGTATAACGCTGAAATTGGTTTTGTTCACTAAGCATGATGCCCTTAAGTCCATTCCAGTTGTTGCATGCATCATTGCTCCATTTCTTTTACTATTGAGTTGTGCTGCATTTTTTTACAACCCACATTTATTCAACCTTCTGTAGTAATTTAAAAATAATGAGGTTGTTGTTTAATACAAAACTACATCTGTTTTATTTATGGAAAATGTTTCAGGGGCAGGGGCAGAAAGATCACAGTTGAGACTTGTTCTTCTTGCAATTTTCTCTTTTTTTATCAATTTTATTGAGTTATAATTTGAATACAATAAAATGCCTCCACTTTAAAAGTACAGTTTTTCAATGACTTTCAAAAAATAATACATTCATGTAACTGCCACCATAATCAAGATCTAGAGCATTTCCATCACCCTCAAAAGTTCTTTCATACTCTTTTGAAATCCATCTCCTGTCCTTTTTTAATCATGACAAAATGTTGAAATTTGTCAAATGCTTTTTCTGCATCTATTGAGATGATCATATGATTTTTATCTTTCATTCTATTAATCTGGGGTATCACATTTATTGATTGGTATATGTTGAACCATCCTTGCATTCCGTGGATAAATCCCACTTGATAATAGTGTATGATCCTCTTAATGTGCTACTGAATATAGTTTACTAGAATTTTGTTTGGAGATTTTACATCAATATTCATCAGAGATAGCGGCCTGTAGTTTTCTTTTCTTATAATGTCCTTGCCTGGCATTGATGTAAGGGTAATTCTGGCCTTGTACAATGAGTTTGAGAGTGGTCCCTCCCTATAATTTTTAGAAGAGTTTAACGTTTGGCATCAATTCTTCTTTAAATGTTTGGTAAAACTCCCCAGTGAAACCACCAGGTCCTGAGCTCTTCCTTCTTAGGGGGTTTTTGATCATTGATTCAATGTCCTTAGTTATTGGTGTGTTCAGATTTTCTATTTCTTTTTTTTTTTTAGATTTTATTTATTTATTTGACAGAGAGAGACACAGCGAGAGAGGGAACACAAGCAGGGGGAGTGGGAGAGGGAGGAGCAGGCTTCCCGCTGAGCAGAGAGACCGATGCGGGGCTCGATCCCAGGACCCTGGGATCATGACCTGAGCCGAAGGCAGACACTTAACGACTGAGCCACCCAGGCGCCCCTAGATTTTCTATTTCTTCATGAATCAGTCTTGTAGGCTGTCTGTTTCTAAAAACAAATCCATTTCTTCTAGGTTAGCCAATTTGCATATAATTGTTCATAGTCTCTTATGATCCTTTGTATTACTGCAGAATCAGTTGTAACGTCTCCTATGCATCATATCATCATCATGATGTCATGATCTTCTTTATCTCTTGTTACAGCTATTGAGTTAAAGTCTAGTTCATCTGATGAAGAATAGATAACCCTACTGTTTTTTGGTTTCAACTTGCATGGAATATCTTTTTCCATCCCCTCATTATTGTCTATATGTCCTTAAAGCTGAAGTAAGACTCTTGCAGGCAAAATATAGTTAAGTCTTGTTTTTCATAATTGTTTACCTATTCAGCTACTCTATGCCTTTTGACTGGAAAATTTAAACCATTTACATTTTAAGTAATTATTGATAGGTAGGGACTTATTAGTGCCATCTTAATTATTTTCTGGCTGTTTTGTAGTTCCCTTGTTCCTCTCTTCCTCTCTTGCTGTCTTCCTTTGTGACTTGACGACTTTCTGTAATGGTATGCTTCAATTCCCTTCTCTTTATCCTTTTGTATCCACTGTCGGCTTCTATTTTGTGGTTACTATCAGACTTACATAAAATATCTTATAGACATTACAGTCTATTTTAAGGTGACAACAACTTCAATCACATACAAAAATTCCTCTTCTTTTACTCCCTTCTCATATTTTGTTTTTGATGTCACAATTTATCTTTTTATATTGTATATCCTTTAACAAATTATTGTAGCTATAGTTATTTTTAATACTTGCATCCTTTAACCTTTACTAGAGTTAAGTAGTTAACCACCATGTTGTAGTACTAGAGTATTCTGAATTTGACTAAATATATTTATATTTGCCAGTGTGTTGTATATTTTCTAATGTTTTCATGTTATTAGTTAGTGTCTTTTTGTTTCAGCTCAGTGCACTTCTTTCAGCATCTCTTATAAAGCAGGCTAGTGGTAATGAATTACCTCAGTTTTTGTTTGTTGGAAAAGTCTTTATCTCACCTTTATTTCTGAAAGATAACATTACTAGGTAAAGCATTCTTGGTTGACAGTTTTTTCTTTCAGTATTTTGAGTGTATCATTCTGCATTTCAAAGTTTCTCCAAAGAAATCTGCTGATAGCCTTATGGGGGTTTCCTGGTATATGAGGGTTATTTTTCCTCTGGCTGCTTTGAAAATTCTTTCCATTATCTTTTATTTTAAACAGCTTAATTATAGTATGTCTTGAAGAAGATCACTTTGGGTGGAAATATTGGGGTGAACTATTAATTTTATGAAGTTAGGAGTCCAAATCTCTCCCCAGATTTAGGAACTTCTCAGCCATTATTCCTTTAACCAAGCTTTCTGCTCTTTCTGGAACTCCAATAATGTCTAGTAGTTTCTCTTAATGGTATCCCATAGGCCACGTGGGCTTTCTTTATCCCTTTTTATTATTTTCCTGTGTTCTCACTGCATAATTTTAAATGTCCTGTCAAAGATCATTCTTCTGCTTGATCCAGTCTGATACTGATATTCTTTCCTGCATTTGTCATTTCATTCATTGTATTCTTCAGCTCCAGAATTTCTGTTTGCTTCTTTTTGATGGTTTCTATCTCTACATTAAACTTCTCATTTTGTTTGTGTATTGTCTCCATGGTTCACTGAATTGTCTTTATGTGTTTTCTTGTAGCTTACTGTGCTTCCTTAAAATAGCTATTCTGAATTCTTTAAGACAAATCACAGATCTCCATTTCTTTGGGATTTATTTCTAGAAAATTACTGTGTTCCTTTGGTGGTGTCAGGTTACATTGATTTTTCATATTCCTTGAAGACTGCTGTTATCTTCATATATGAAGAAGCAGTTACCTCCAGTATTTCTGACTTGCTTTAGCAGAGAATTACCTTCTGTCACCCCTGCTCGTGATTCTGAGGCTTTCTCAGACCTTTTCTATGGTTATTCCTGCTCCAAACTTCTTATTTCATCTTATGACAGAATTCTTAAACTTGTATGCCTTTCCTCCATCCTGCAAAGTCAGGTGAGCTGCTGAGAGCCTCCTTTTTCCTTTCCCTAGGGTGGGACTGAACGCTCAAGTGTGTGATTTTTCCCCAGCCTGCAGAGTCGGGCCACCTTTCTGCATGTGCTTACTAGCCATCTGCAAAGGCTTTCTGTCACTGGAAGCACATAATGGAAAACCATCTACAGGATGGGGTTATGTGTAGGTAAGGTGCACAGAGGCAGGGAGTGCTCATGACTACTTGAGGACAACCCCAGTGGCGCAATAACAAGCTTCCCAATGGAGTCCATGGTATAATTAGTAGGATCCACATCCCTTTGATGCCCTCCAACAATCCTACCTGCTACCTTCCCAGACACACCCACCCTCAGTCACACAATATACCTCAGCAATCTGAATGGGATGAGAAGTGGATCTCTTTGGCAGTGTCTCCCATAGATGAGGAAACCAGACCTTCATTCACATGCTCTTACTTTTCCCAGTGGAAGGAATCACAAGTCACAGGTTATAAGAACACCTCCTTTGGCAATGAGCTATGCTGCCTTGGGAGAGGCAGGACATAGGTAAAGTGAAACTGTTCCTCTTACCCTCTTCAATGCATCCAATCTTGGATTTTTTTGCTCCGACAGTGTTCTGGTACTTCTGGGCTAAGCTTCTGGACTTCCACAAAGGCTCTCTCATCTGTGGGTGATTGTTGAAATTGGTACTCTTTGTGGGGAAAACAGTAAAAAATTGTTATTACATCATGATGTAATACATTGTTCCTCTTATGATCTTATTACATTATTCATCTTGGAATTTTCTTTAAGCCAACCTAAGTCAAGACTCTCATTCTTCCTCCTCCAAGAATAAAGACTGGGACACCCAGAATTTGGTTGGTCTTATAATCAATAACAAGGGGAACACAAGGTATGTCCTACCATTACTCTTTCTGAAAGTGTACATCATTATTTGTGTGTGTGTGTGTGTGTGTGTGTGTTGTGTTTTGTTGTTAACACCAAAATGTAAAGAATCACATTTTAAGAGATGTCTTATTTAACAAGATGTGAGAGGATGCAGACGGAAGCTCCAAGGGCTCTGGCTGGACTCCCAAACCCTGGCCTCTGCATGGACAGAATGCTCCACTTCCTGCAAAGGTTCTCCCTTAATAACAGGCCTAGAACAGCCTGCTCAGAACAGCAACACACCAGGCTGCACAAAAACAAACATGACTTTTTCCACCCCAAAAAAAGTCCCTGCTGTCACCCCTACCTAACAGGTGGCTTTGGTAACAGACAATAAGCTGTCAGGGAGTGAAAGTGTCCCCCAAACACCACCATCCTCCCTTCTCCAGCTTCTCAGAACTGCTGCCTTTGCTGAATGGCCTTGTTTCTTAAATCCTTTTGCTCTTGTAATTTCTTACACTTTAAAAAAACAAAAACACAACTGTCGGAAAAGAAATAGCAGAAACACTAATTTCACAGTGCTAGAAACTACAGTGGGGGACTTTCTAAGCATTTAATGCCAAAATGTCTCATTCGAAATCAAAGTTACTCTCTGGAGGTGAAGAAGATACAAGAAAAGTGAGAAAAGAAACTTGGACAGATTTTGCAGGTTTGTGACAAAGAGGAAAAGACCAACAACATGGTGAAGTTGGGGTCTGCTAGGTACCTGCAGGGCAAAGACTACTCCCATCTCATAGTGTGCCAGGACCCGGTGGAGCAGTGGGCTGGGGCTCAGGCACCACCATCCTATGTCCCTTGCCCTCACCTGTTCAAGAAGAAGCAGTCCTCATCCAACCCCTTTCCCGGCATAGCTGGCGATAGGCCTGTGAATGTGTGTCTGTCAGAGGATGCCAGGGATCCTTCATGAAGCTGGGGTATCATCATCTACCCGGATTGAGTTTTATTGTGCTGCAAAGCCTAGTGCTCTCACTCCTCACCAGGTGCTAGCTGGAGCCTTGCTGGTGGAGTGAGCCAGATCTGCTTCAGTTGGCATTGACAGGGCAGCCTCTCAGGGATCCTCTGTATCCTGCCCCTTGCCTGCACTGGCCCTACTGCACTTGCTGAGAGAGGCACCCTTTGGGTCTGGCTCCACCCCTCCCTCAGAAACTGCCTGCAACCAGCTCTTGCTTCCCCACAGCAAAAGGATAGGCCACCAAGGAAGGTGCTAGGAGAGCAAACCAAAAAAATGAGAATCCAAGCAGGGCAAGTGAGACCTCACCAATGTGAGATGGAGATGGGAGAGAAAAGGCCCTGAGAAGGACCTGTGCAAGGTGGGAGGTCCTGAGAGAGAGGATGAGGTGCCAGAATAGTACAGAGGCGGCAGAGTAAAGATGCAAAGCAGAAGGCTGTGAACAGAGGGAAACCCTGAGAACACAGAAGCCCCAAAACACAAAGCCCTGAGAGAATGGGGGCCTGAAGCACAAAAAGATGTCCCCCCCCCGAAAGATGGAGGACTGAGGCATGAAGGGATGGCTCCCTGATTTGAATGAAGGCCTAAAAGGGTGGAGGCAGATGCATAGAGAGGTGACTGAGGGCCCAGAGACAGGTGCTAAAAAAGGATGGAAGTGGGGGAAGGGGGTGTAAAGCATGGGGCATTGAGGAGCTGGGGCCTCAAGGATAGATAGGCAGAGGGGCAAGAGACAGAGCATCCACAGTGAGTCCCAAGTGGAGCCAAGCTTTGCCTGTGCTCAGTTGGGTTCCAAATTACTGTGGCAGGAGGGCCAGGTGCTCTGGCTCATCGGTAGCAGGGATGCGGGCACCCCCGCCTGAACTGGTGGGCCAGAAGACTTACTTCTTGCCTTTGAACGTGCCCAGGATCTTGGGCGTGAACTTTCCTGCGTTGCTTTCCCTGGTGTCTTCTGCCAGGGCCTCTCCCCTGCTCGGGGCCACCGAACTGCTCCTTTACCCAGAAGACCTCCAAGTGGCGGCAGACGCTTCTCCTTGCGCATGCTCTCCACGCAGTGCTTCAGCCTGCCTCCCTCCTCCGCGCCGCAGGTGGGCAGTGTGTGCAGCTCAGCGGGCCCTGTGTCCCCAGGCTGACTGAGCGGAAGATGGCCGAACATTTGTCCTGTCGGATGTGTCAGGGGCCAGGCTGCACGCAGCTGGTGGGCGGCCTAGCTCAGGGCTGCCGTGGGCCGGGGCAGGGACTCCATGGTGCTTCTGGCCGTGGGCACTAGTACTTTCCAGAATGGCTTTCGAGTCATCTCTCAGGTTGCTGTGATACAAGGCACTGGCCTTGACGGAGGCCGCACGTGCCCAACCGGACCCGCTTCTCTCGCAGCCTCCACGCTGTCACCTGGGCCCATGAAGGCCGCTGGGGCTCTCGGGCTGCCGGTTCTCCAGCGCCGTCAGGTCACAGCCCTCGTCCTCTGCATGCCCCTCACCCTTGGGGCTCAGCGTCTGCAGAAGCTCAGGAGCCCTCGCACAGGACCTGCATGGGGTCGCCAGCCGCCTCCTCCGACAGCCGGGTCTTCGGAGACTCCCCGGGGGGAAGGTAAGGGTGAGGCTGCCCGTGCGCTGCGGCACAGGGGGCACCCAGAGCTCCGGCTCCCGCGCCCCGGGTAGGCTTTGGTGAGGCTCCCTTTGGCTCCAAGCGCAGGTGGAGCCGCCCAGCGCGCAGAGAGGAAGCGGGGTGGGGCGGGGCGCTGGCCCGGCGAGCAGTTTGCCCTGGGGGCAACATCATCTTTATTAACCATAAGCAGGTCAGCCAGGAAAAGGCTTTGAGTATGACAAAATTTCTGTTAAAACTTACTATTAATCAATCCCGGTATCCGGAATGCATGTAACAGCGTGTCAGAGTCGCAAATACACTCTTGTGAAAAACAAATTTAGCAATTAAAGTACAATGTTTTACGCATTTCTTTTTACCTTAAACTTACGATATCTAGTCAAATAAGTAAATAAATGGTAGCTAATGGAGCCATGTTTCCCATTGTCACAGAAATAAGATACAAATAGGCAAAAGAGGAAGGCTGTAATGAACCTTGTGTTGCTAGCTTAGACTTGGAGATAACAGTATTAATTCATGTTTCTATTATATATTAAGATAGATGAATATAGAAATAATTAGATATGGAGATACACACAAGAGTTTGAATACACAACATATTTCCCACCCCTTTCCACTGAGAGTGTTACCAAAATCCAAGTTCAGCTGCCTGAACTCAAAAAGCCAATACACAAGAGTTTTGATTGGAAAGGAATATGAGCTTTATTCAGGAGGCCAGCCACTTGGGTAGAAGGGGGGCTCTTGTCCGAAGGCCAACTCCGAGGTTCCTGCCTGGCCGGGTGGTTTTTAAAGGAGTTTAGGGAAGGGGCGCCTGGGTGGCTCAGTTGGTTAAGCGACTGCCTTCGGCTCAGGTCATGATCCTGGAGTCCCGGGATCGAGTCCCGCATCGGGCTCCCTGCTCAGCAGGGAGTCTGCTTCTCCCTCTGACCCTCCTCCCTCTCATGCTCTCTGTATCTCATTCTCTCTGTCTCAAATAAATAAATAAAAATCTTTAAAAATAAATAAATAAAAAAATAAAAAATAAAGGAGTTTAGGGCAGTTAATAAAGCGAGTACAGTGGTCCCTAACATTTCTTGGTTACATGCTCTTGATTATGGCAGTTGTGCAAGGGGGTCTGGTTTCTGTTTCCTGACATGCAGAGGTGCTCTGTTCTTTCTAGGAAAGAATGCATGATCTATAGATAGACAAAGAAAGGTTAATCAATCATGCCTGGTAAGGGTGCTTCCTAAAGCTTAAAGACTACTAGGTTGGCGGGAGGGGCTGAGGCAGCTTCAAGAGGACCTAGAAACAGTGATATCCTAGTATCAGTGAACACATCTAGCACCCAGATCTTATTTCTGAATAGTGTTCTCTGGTAATAAGAACTAGGGTTCCTTGGAGAAATGATTCATTTTAGAGTTGGACCAAGGAACTTTCAGAATGATTCTGAAACATCTTATAGTGTCAGAGAGTAAAAAATTGATTTTTTAAAAGAAGATGGAGTCATGGTCAAAAATTCATAGGATTTAACCTGGGAGCTCTTAAGAACCAAAACTGGAATTATTTGGAAAACAAAATAAATAATGATGCTATTGGATTATAACCCAAAGAATAAAGTAAATATACAAGAATCCATATGAATTTCAAATATATATATCTAGATAACTCCTCTCCAGGAAGTAGAACTTAATTCCTCTCTCCTGGACATAGTGACTTACTTCTAAAGAATTGAGTAGGAAAAGGGAAAAATAGTAAATTTACAATGGAGAAAACTGTTCCCTGTCTTGCTGTGTCTCTCTCTGTGAAATAAATAAATAAAATCTTAAAAAAAAAAAAAAAGATATGTGTTGAAGGTGACAGCTACAAGAAGGATCTTAGGTCCAAGTTTTTATGTTTAGGAAGCTGTCTATGATTTAGAAACCATGTCTTGGACTGCCAATGAGTGAGATAGAAACTTACTGTATTTTAATTATGTATATTTGATTGTGAACACTTAAAGTTTTTATAAGTATTGAAAGATGATTTAAACAACTGGGGGAGAATGTTGAGATTAATTGTAAGAACATAGAAAATTGAACCAACAAAAAATCCAGACCATTGTTTACTGTAGAGAGAACAAGGATTAAAAAAAAAAGAACAAGGATTGTAAAGGAAAAGTAATCAGTGTATTTTACTACTTAGATATGCAGAGCATAGGGGCACCTGGGTGGCTCATTTGTTAAGCATCCGCCTTCAGCTCAGGTCATGAACTCAGGTCCTGGGATAGGGATGGAGCCTGGCATGGGCTCCCTGCTCAGCGGGGAGTCTGCTTCTCCCTCTCCCTCAGCAGCACCCCCACCCCCCACCCCCGCTCTTGTGGGCGCTCGAGCACTCTCTCAAGTAAATAAATAAAATATTTTTTTAAAAAAAGGTATGCAGAACATGTACATCTTTATAAATCATGTAAACACTGAATATTGATCTAACTTAAAAAACTCTATTGGGAGGATGAAAACACTGGGAAGTATATTTGTGATGGTGGAAGGTGAAAACTGGCTAAATTTCATTTCCCAAACTTAAAGTCAATTGACAAGGCCTAATACTGACAAATTGAGAAGCAAATGCATGTTATTTAGAAATATGAAATTAAAGATGGGAGGGAGGGGCAGAAAGGGCAAGGGAGAAAGAAGGAAGAAATCTGTTCATAGCAGCACGGATAAAAATGAGTAAGATTGAATCCTTGCCCTCTGGGAGTGTACGGTCTAAGTGTAATGAAGATACACAGGTAAGTTTGTTGTGTTTAAGTGGGAACGTGCACAAGATGCCTCAGCAGCATACAGAGAAGGCACTTCAGGTGCTGAGAGTGGGGACAGGGGAAGAGATCAGAAGAGATGTTCCATCAGAAATGAGGACAGGACTGAGTCTTGGAGAATGAGTATGTGGTATCCAAGTGAGAAGAAGGGAGAAGGCATTCCAGGCAGATGAAACAACATGGAGCAAAGAAATCATCAGCATGTATGAGAGGAATTCAGACTCTTCAGTATTACTGGAGAGTACAATTCAAGGAGTGGAGATATGGGGGATAAAGCTGTGGATGCAGTTAGGAAGCAAACTCTAGAGAGCTTTCTTTGACAGTGTGGGGGGTTTGCACTTGTGTTGGGAGAGAAAAGAAAGGGATTTAAGCAAGGAAATGTTGCAATCTCTATAGGTAATTCTATACAAAATGTGTGAATAGATTTCCAGAGAAGATAGTGGTGAACAGCAGAATTCTAAAACATGACTCCACAATGACTTTCTCCCTTGTATAATCCTCTCTCCTTTGAGTATGAGGGGAACCTATAAATTTAATGAGATATCACTCTAGTAACTGTGCTATGTTATATGGCATAGCTGACCTTAAATTAGGGAGATTATCAGG